TACCTAAAACCACTCTAAAAATAAAAAATAAAATCTATTAGTTAAAAAACAAACATGATGTTGAGGAAGGGTGAACACCCAAGGACACAGCTGTCTGGGGAGGGTCCCCGGTGGTGTGAGAGGATAAATGGGAAGAAAACATGCCCCATGTGGAAAACACAGAGGGTGTTTTCCGGGAGTGTTGTTGGTATTTCCAAGGAGCACCGTTGTGCAAGTAGGGTTTGCTCCCTACTGTGCGCTGAGAGCAAACCATGAGCACTTTGGGAAAGCAGTGTGGTTCCTGGGGAGCGTGGATGGGGGATGTGACGGTTGGGACCCAGCCCAGCTGCACCCACTCAGGTACTTGTAGGAGCCAGCTCGTGTGAGGGTTCGTCACACATGGATTGAGGGAAGCTCAGAGAGCTGGTTACACATTCCTCCTGGGTGTGTCTGTCTGTGAGGGTGCTTCTGGAAGAGGTGAGCATTGCATCTGGTGCAGAGTAAAGCCAAGGGCCTTCTGCACTGCGGGTGGGCCTCATCTAATCAGTTGACGGTCTGAAAAGCATCAGAGAACGTGCAGGAAGGGGGCGAATGCGTCACACGAGCTATTGGTTCTGTTTCTCTACACATCCCTGACTCACACAGCCTGCATAACACCCTAGAAAGGAGCGGCTTTAAAACAACACACATTTATTTCTCAAGGTCCTGGAGGCTGGAAGTGGGAGATCCAGGTGCCCGCTGGTTCAGTGTCTGGTGAAAACCCACCCCCTGGTTTGTCAACAGCTACCTTTTTGCTCTGACCTCACATGATGAAGAGACAGAGCTCCAGCATTTCTCCAGACTCCTTTCCTCCACGACCATCACTCCCCGCTCTGCCCGCCATGACCCCGATTGTGTATCTGCACCTCCTGTCCTCCCACGTGTCCAGGCTTAATGCATTCAAACTCCTTACTGGGGTGGCCAGGAAAAGACAAGGCCAGGGAGGGGCTCAGCCAGCCTGCCACCCACACCCTCGCCAGCCCCTCCAAGGGGGTGTCCTTCATGTTGGACACCAGCCAGGCAGCCTGTTTTGGCTCAGATGCCTGCGCCCTGGTGTCTTTGCCCTGCCTGGACCTCCCCATGTGCGCCCCTCTGGAGAACCCCTCTCCAGGCTCACAGCCCAGCCTGTAAGGAACAGGCTCCTCTTCGGGGAGGTCCCAAGGCAGCCAACATCCACTCTGCCCATCCCCTGCAGGGCCCTGCCTTAGTGTCCCCTCCAGGCGGCTGACTTTGCAGTCTGGTGACCTGACCCTAATGTCTTATCTCCCTAGCCAAATGTGTGTGAAGGGCTGGGAGCCACACCAGCCTAGGAGGCAGGGGACCAGGCACTGAGTGCAGATTGATGCTCTACCCAACTCCCCTGGCACAGAAGCTTGAAAGGTCCAGTCCTTGGATGTTCCCTGTCACCTGGGGAGGCTTGACTGTAGGAATCGCATAGTTCCTTCCAGAGTGATTTAGAAAGTGAGCAAAATTGCAAATCCGCGACACATCAATTGATGACAGCTGTCTCATAAGGAAACATCATCAACCCATTAAATGTCATGGAGGTAGAATGAAAGTCACTCAATGCACTTTCAGTTTAACCACAAAAGTATAGGATGGATGGATGGATGGATGGATGGATGGATGGATGGATGGATGGATAAATGGATGGATGGATCAATGGATGGTCGACAAATAATAGATACATGATAGAAAACACATAGAAACATAGATAATCGATAGGCAAGTAGAATATACAATAGACCATAGACATATAGAGGACACAGACAGGAGATATATGGCATCCATTCCACACAGGCATGGAATCACAAGGCTTACTAAGTATGTAACCTGTTAGCCAGGGACATAATCACAGTGAAATTTCAGGTTGCCCACAAAACACAGTGCTGATGTCCCCAGTACTGTGCACAAGGCACCATCTTTCCTGCCTGCTGCACAGTCAACGGGTCCTTTCCAGGAAAACCCAGCCATGAGCTACCTAGGAAGAAAAGCCTCCTCAGGTACCATCTCCCAGAACCCTGAACCTCTGAGATGAGAAGCAAGGGTGCCGTTCACCCCACAATAAACTCTCGGGAAGTGCCCTGCTTCAGAGACAGGTTCTAACAGAGAACGGGACAGCCCGTTCCCCCCAAGAAGCCCCTCCCCCAGCACATGTCATCTGCCACCTGCGAAACGCACACCTTGTCTCGTGTCTCCACGAGAATGCAGCACGTCTGAAACAATCAAGAAGCCGAACTGCCCCGGAATCAGGAGGCTGGACAAGCATCTGGAGCTTGCCTATCACCAGAGGTCTGACTGCCGAGCAGATATTCTGAGAATCCTCCCAGAATAACGAAGGCCAACATCCCCCAACCAAGGGGCTGCACAGAGTCCCCCAACCTTGGAGAAACAGACTACAGGGTCCTGACATGCAGGGGCACCCGGGGAACCCAGGGATGATGCAGGTTTGGAATCACGGATCCCATGGGGGAGCCTGGGTCTGTGTTTCTGGCAAACAGATCTGGTCTACACGGCGGCTACGGGCCATGTCCTGGAAAGCAGGTTGTGGGCACAGGATTATATCAGATGGCTGAGATGCCCATGTGCTAACAGGATGGGGCTGCTGTGCGTGCCTCGAGACCTCCGGAGGAGGATGGCAGGCTTCATGCGACTGTTGTGCTAAACCCTATACGAGTCTCATGTTTGCAAATGGCTGGAGCAACGTCAGAAGGACAGGAACATTGCGTGGAAGACGTGACACGGGGACTGGGGCCTGGAGCACGCCACCTGGCGCCCATGCTGTGCGCAGATCTACGGGACCACAGCCACACCCTGATGGGACCGCGTGCTCCACAAAGCCACAAATACCTCCTTCCTCAGGGACCAGGGGAGCCGGATCTGCCCTGGGTCCTGAGAGCCACTGTCACACAGACAATGCTGAGCGGAAATGAGCCTCTACGGCGCCCGAGAACCAACTCCGGAAGGCCCCCCGGATTAACTCCCCCAACAACAACAACAGCAAAAACCCAGCTCAGACTTAGGGCTTTAGAGTAAGACGTGAGCATAAATCCCACACAGACGCACACCTGTGAGGAAGCTGGGGGGGGCGGGGTGCGGACCCAGAGAGGAGAATGCGTGCCGGCCAGGGGCTGTATGTGTAGCAGCCATGCTCGAGGATGGGCACAGCTGGTGCCCATCACCAGACACAGCCAAGGACGTGCTCCCCGGGGACCACCGGACATTGGCCACGTCAGTCACTGTGGCCGAAACTGGCCCCATCTTAACTCCACGTGTGTGTGTGTGAAATGGAAATATTTAGTTAGCCCCAACCCAGCAACACGGCAGCCAATTCCCTGCAGGAAGAGAAGGCCGGGACGGTGCAGATCAACATGCCTTGTCCATTTGTCTGTCCGTGTGGTGCCTTGTTTTGTTAAGAGGAGGAAGGACAGGCTGGGAACAGTCAACTGTCTGTACAAATGAAAGGTCCACGCTCACCACTCAGAAAGGCTCGGGCTCATAAAACCATTCGCTGAAGACAAGCCAGTGAAGGAAAATGCAAAAGGCCTGCTCCTGGGCAGCACGTCACCAAGCGGCGGCTTTATTCACATGAAGGAAAATGCAAAAAGCCCCCCGCCAGACAGCCCATCACCAAGTGGTGGCTTTATTCACATAGAATTTGGGTTGCACAAATACCTAGAATGGATCAGATGCTTTGTCATTTGCAAGGACCCCAGGACAAAGCACCATGGACTCATTCTTTGTGGCCCGGAAACCTCTTTCGAGAAAGAAACAAAAGCCCCTCCCCCCCACCCCATTACTGGAGGGCTTCTGTCACAATGAACACACATCAGACAAATAAATTAGGAGCGCATCTGCTTCTTGGGTTTATTGAACAAGAGTCAAATTTGAAAGCGTTAAATAAGAAGAAAAAAAAAGCATCCCATGAGGAAGGCTCAAACCCAGTCGGATGCGTCAAGATACAAGTCTCTCCCCTCATCAACACCGGGGGGGGGGGTCACCCTCCTGAGGAAATGGACATATCCGCCTCCTTAAATGTCCATGATGCTCTCGGAGGTGCTCAGCCACGCAGAACGTCGCCAGTGTCTCGGGTTTCTGCGAACAGCCGGAGCGACCCCGAAATCAAGGCCAAAATGTCCCATGGTCCGTTTTTTAAAAAATCAGCAGGCCCCCGCGGTGCGGTGTTGAAAAGACAAAACGCAAGCATCCGTGGCCCCGTGGAGAAATTGCAATCACCGCACATTGGGGCCCCTGGTAATTTTGGAAAGCGGGGCTCCCGAGGGCGGGGGCCTGGTGGTCATCTTGGGGAAAGGGCCCCTTTTAAGCATGGGACACGTGTCACGGGTAGGACCCAAGCGCCTCAGGGTCACCAGGACCATGTGCACAGAGCGAATTGCAGCGAGGGGACAAAAGGCAGAAGACACAGCGCGTCCAATACCTCTCTTCCTGCGTTGTCCCCACGGCCCGCGCCCTATTGCTCTTTTCATGCTTTGCACCAAACCCAAAGCTTGTGCGTCTCCCACACGGGGCGCGTGGGCTGGAGAGGGGTGTCCCCGGCCGTGCCAAAGGCAAGGTGTGTGCTTCCGCTGGGAAGTAAACACGAGCTCCCGTGCGCAACAGGCCCGGGAAGGCCTATCGAAGGCGTGTGGGCCGGGAAGGATGTGGGAGTTTGGATATTTTTCTGGGGTTTATCGCAAACCATCCCGCGGAGAACAGGACGGCCTTGGGGGTGGAATTAATTTATGTAGGAAGCGAACGGGGCTCCCTCCCTCCGACCGTCCGTCCCTGCTGGCTGCGCGCTGCTCCAGGAGTTCGTTCTCTGCAGCCAGCAGGTGCGCGTGGGGACTTCTAGAACTTTCTCTGTCGATTTCTGCCACTTTGCTACGATGAGACTGGGCTCCCAGAAGACGCGCACAGCAGCCCCATGTTTCCCTCCTGTGCCTTTGCTCTCCTCCGCCCGGCCACCCACGCACACGCAGGCAGTGGGTATTTACAGCGGAACATCCGCAGGGTCCAGCGCCACGGTGACCCCACCCCCAACCCCGCCGGCACCTACACGAAGCCGCTGTCCCTGATCCCAAAGAAGCCGGCGTGCACGGCGTCCCCTAGGGGGAACACCTGCTCATGGTCCAGGCCCCATTCGCCCTCGTCCTCGTCCTCGGGCTCAGCCTCGGCGCCGCTGCGCGCGTTCTCGTACAGGAAGATTTGCTCGTCCACGTGCGCCGGCGCCAGTCGGTTCCTCTTGGCTCTGACCACGTTGGCGGAGGAGCCAAAGAGTCGCTCCGGGAAGACGCGCGTGGCCGCCACGCACCAATATTTCTGCAGCACCTTGGGCAGCACCGGGAAGAGTGCCAGGCGGTCGGACCACCACTTGAGGGGGTCCTCGTTGAGGCCCAGGACCTTCTGCGACTTGAAGTTGCTAAGCTCCTCCACCACCTGCGCGTGCCACTCCTCCTGGTCCTCCACGCCCCCCGTCTGGCAGAAGATCTCGGCCAGCATGCTGTTGATGACGCTGGTGGGCGGCGGCGTGGACGCCAGCACCAGCTTTTTCACCGGGGGCTCCTCCGGCAGCGCGTACATCTTGTCCTCCGCCGTCCGGTAGCCACCGCCACTGTCCTTGACCTTGTCCAGCAGGCCCTTGGCCTCCTCCACCACCCTGTTCTCCACCTGCTGCCTCTCGAAGGCAGACAGGAAGGGCAGGCGCTTGTAGCGCGGGTCCAGGAAGGTGGCCACGTTCAGGAACATGTCGATCTCGGGCGCCTCCTGGTAGGTCTTGGACAGCTCCTTGGCGATGACCTCCTTGGCCATGCTGAGCTCCTTGCAGTCAGTCTCCTTGATGTTGAGCGTGGTGTTGAGCAGCATGTGCAGCAGGGGCTTCACCATGCTGATGGTGGGGTACTTGGAGGCGGAGAGCATCTCGGCCACCTGCTTGAAGGGCTGCAGCAGCTCCACCAGCCCCTCAATGGTGGCCCACTCGGCGGCCTCCAGCATCAGGTGGTGGTTGTTGCTGTCCTCCACCAGCACGCCCGCGATGACAAACTGCTGCTCCTTGAGGCGCTGGAGCATGGCCAGTGTGCTGCCCCACCAGGACACGCGGTTGCTCACCAACATGCAGTGCGCCATGTTCTGCTGCTTCTGCTTCTCGTACAGCATGTACATGGCCACGGTCGACTGCTGGAAGTACTCCACCAGCTTGCGGCAGCGGGCCAACAGCCCGGCGAGCTTGGGCAGCTGCAGGGCCTGCTGGATGCCCGCGTTGAACGTGTGCCCCAGGCAGGGCATCTGCACCGAGATGTCCAGCAGGGAGCACGCCTTCACGATGTCCTTGCCACAGTCCGTGGTGGCCCCGAACACCTTGGCGCTGATGCCCCACTCGATGAAGGCCTCGTACAGGACCCTGGTGATGGACTCGGCCGTGTTGTCCTCGGGGACCTCGAAGGTCTTCAGGCAGCGGGAGCCCACGGACAGGCAGCCGGGGGCCCCACCGCCCAGGAAGTGGGCGGCCAGCGTGACATAGGCACGGTTCTGGTTCTCGCTCCTCCACATGTCCGTGGAGATGCCGCACCAGGACGTGTCGCTGAGCTCCTTGAGGACGGCCTCACGGACAGCGCCGTACTTCTCGGGAATGGCCTTGCTGCAGAGGAATTTCCTGCTGGGCAGCTCGTACCGGGGGTCGGCCGTCTTCAGCAGCACCTTGAACGTGGGCTCATCCACGATGGACGCGGGGTACAGGCCCTCACAGATGAGGCCGATGACAGCGGCCGTGAGCTCCTGCTGCCGCTTGCTCTCGTGGCCGTGGCCAGCCTTGGTGGCCAGCGTGTCCGGTGGGGTCAGCTGCGACGCCTCGGGCTTCAGCTTGGAGAAGGCGGTGGCGAAGGCCTCGCGCATCTGCTCCGTGTTGCTCTTGACGAACTCACAGAACTCGTCGGGGTGATTCTTCTCCAGGTGATAGGAGAGGTTGGAGGTGTTGCCGGAGTAGGCGATCTGGGCCATGCAGATGCGACAGTAGATCTTCTTCCACTGCAGGATGCATCCCTCGGCGTTGGTGTCGAAGCCAAAGTACTTCCACACTTTGCTCTTGGCGCGCGGGTGGGCCACTAACTTGAGGTCTGTCTGGGACGGGTCCAGGCCTTTCGCCTCCATGGCTTCTGCGCCGCGGCCCGCCTGCGGGGCCTCCACTCATTCCTGCGCACCTGCTGAGAAGCAGCAAGACAAACACAGCGTGAGAAGGGGCCCAACCACAGGAGGGGGGGGTGCCCTGCGAGGAGCGAGCGCACGCCACACGCTGAAGCAGCTCTGTCTCCAAGCCACGGGGCAGAGGGACCCCACGGGGGCCACCTTTCCGAGTGCGCGTGGCTTTGGCAAAGCGGAGGGTGCACTCTGACAGGTGAGCGCCTCTTCCCTGCAGGTCACTCCTATGCGCAGTGTGCGCAGCAACTCCACCCGTCTGAAAACGTGCGCATCTGCGCTCTTACGGGCGCAAGGACTTCACGCGTCTGAAAAACGTGCGTATCTGCGCTCCTATGGGCACAAGGACTCCTCGCGTCTGTGCGTATCTGCGCTCCTACGTACACAGTGGCTGAAAACATGCGCATCTTTGAGTTTCTCGGTCCTTAGAGCACCTGGCCCATCTCGGCTGTTTACTGTTTCCTGTGCTAGGCAGTCCACCAACCCAGCACCAGCCAGGCAGGGTCACTTTCGGGGTGAACGAGCTGCTGGCTGCGTGCGGAAGCCCACGTGCCCCAGCACAGGCGCCAGCCCAGGAGGACCCACCGTCACCACCAGCACCTCTGGCCTCCTCGTCAGCAAGAATGTGAGGCACCACAGAACCCGAGGTTTGTCACGGGCATCCAAGAAGCAAAAATGGGATTTTAATTTGGACAAAGCAGTCTTTAAGTTGGCTAAGAAGCATGGCTACTTTTGTTTGTTCCCCAAATTTTACGTTTTAAAACGACGCCTTTTGGAACGTGGCATGCGGTCCTTTTATCTTTGGCACATCCATCATCGGTAACCTTAGTGGGGCGGTAATGGACATCTTGATCCCTGGAGCTTCTCAAAATGCCCACCGTGGGCAATCATACCTGTACACACAGATATACATTTGCTGTGCACGGGTTTCAGCATCACCAGGCTCTCGGAGGGGAGACTTTGTCAACCCAGAAGCCAGCCCCGAGGGTTCCGGTTGTCCCTGATGCCCCCACGTTGGGTCCCTTGGAGCCGCCAATCTGGGCAGAGACTCCCCAGAATGGCAGCTGAGTTCTGTTCAAAGGTGTCTGTTAACTCTCCAACTTTTCAACCCGCTGTACAGTGCTCAGGGGGTTAAATAACAAACTGCACCAACCAGGCATTTTCTGAGTATCGGGAATATGTTCAGAGCAAAGTCTCCATGTCTACAGGAGATCGCAGAGTGCCCCCACCGGAATTCAGGTACTCCCAGAACCTGTGAATGGAACCTTATTTGAAACAGGACCCAGGTGTGTTAAGTGAAGGATCATAAGGTCATGGGAAGGATGTGGCCACAAGCCAGGAGCCCCCAGAAGCTGGAAAAAAAAGGGGAAGGACCCTTTCCTGGTGCCTCGGGAGAGATCGTGACCATGCCCCGCCTGGATCTCACACTCTGGTGTCCAGAGCTGGGAAAGGATGAATTTTTGACCTTTTAAGCCAGTGGGTACTAGGGTAAGGCTGACCCAGGGCATTCTTTAGACAAGGGTCAAACCTTAAAAGATACTGAGTGTCAACATCATGCCCAAAATGCCCCCCATGTCCTCACAGACAGCCACACCCCGCCACACTGGCCTTCATGAGGCTTTTCAGGAAGACGTCACAATAGGCCTGATTAATGGGGCATTATGGTCCCTGGGCTGGATGGAGGACACTGTTCTGTGGGCAACTCTACGTAGGAAGCAAAGAGACGAGGCCCAGAATCTGCAGGACAGGTGGAGGGAATCCAACACAGCCATGGCTTGCAGAAAGAGGAGACCCAAGCTGCACGGTCTGCAGTCCAGTCAGGATCGGGCACCTGGACAAAGAACGGCCGTCGAGGGACCGGGAAAGGAACCCACAGCGCTGCACGCTGGCTCTGGAGTATGAGCAGGTCCATTCTACCCCGGCAGCACAATTCGGCTGTATCAGGTCTTCCTATGGCATTATTATCACGGTTTTAATAATTATCACTAATTGAGCTGAACGAGGTCACGAGACCCTGAGCTACATGCCGCACACAAGGAACAAGGAATCCCCAACTAAACGGATTCTTATGGAGGCACCACTGGCTGGGCCTTGCTCTCCTTGGGTGCACACTTACGTCAGGATCTCTGGGGGCCCCCAGGAAAGCAGGCGATGAGCAGGGGATGTTTCCGGCGAGCCCCTGGAAGGCCCCTGGGCAGGGCCGCCTGCCGCCACCATCTGTACCGCTCGGCCCACAATGGCGTTGGTCACAGTCACCAGTAAAGGTTTCTTCAAGGCAGGCTTTCTCCGCTCATCCTTGGCAGGTGGTTCGAGCACCTCTGGGGGACTGTCCCCAAGCCCCTCCCGGGGGTCCTGAGAGGTCCTGCCTTTTGCACAGGAAAAGCCGGTTTTCTCCCACACTGCCACCCCAACAGCGCGTCCCGGGGGTGGGGGGCAGACGCAGCAGGACGGAGAGCCAGCTGCCTTCCCCACAGCCTGGAGCTCAAGAGGCCAGCAAGCACGGACCAGGGGGCCACGGCGCCCACTAGCCTACTCTGTGTCTTGGAGAATGGAGTTGTTCAGTCTGAAAAACCCGTATCACTGGTAGTTACAGGCAATTGGCTTGTCTTTGTCATTTTAAACACGATCTTAAATACGTTTTTAAATTTCTGCTTTAATTCCTAGCAGGCAAAACCTGCCTAAACAAACGCTCTTTTGGGGTCCTCATTTTTTTGGAGAGGAAAGGGACCCTAAATCATGATGTTCGAATACCCGGGTTTCATGGTCCGTGTCCACGTGTGCACAAAAGCAACAAGAATTCACTTTCTGTGGATAGGTGTTTTAACCCCCTGTAGTCTGGAAACTAAGAGCCCTCCCAAAATAGCTCGGTAAGTGGGCTGGTTGACATAGTTTGCAGTGGGTATGGCCTCCAAAGGTTCAGCACGTACAAGTGAGTCCACTTTCCGTACCAAGAAGCCTGCTTACTTCTAACGGAATTTTTAAGATTTTATTTATTTGAGAGCGAGAGAGAGAGCACAAGCAGGGGCTGAGCAGGGAGCCCGATGCGGGGCTCGGTCCCAGGACCCCGGGATCATGACCTGAGCCGAAGGCAGACGCTTAACGACTGAGCCACCCAGGCGCCCCCCCAACAGAATTTTTAAGGGAAACTCTGTACAATATCAGAACTAGAAAAAAACAAATCAAGTAGACCTTGTCTCCTTTTCAAAACGCATCGATGCGTGGAGACATTTAATTTCCAACAGATAACCCCTTTGTTGGTCCTGCACATGTGACCACATGTCTACAGAACACAGCAACTTGGAGCAACTTTTAGGCCAGTTTTGGGGTGACATTCGGATACGAAATGCGGTTAGTTAAATCATGTATTTTAAGATGTGATGAACAGACACACCTCACCGTGTGGGCCACCTGGACAGTCTTCAGAAGACAGAGAATCTGCAAACCAGACCATCAATCCTGAGTCTGTAAATGGTCTTGCTTTTGGATAAATGTTAAGAAATTAGGACATCTTAACATTCAGGACAACTGCACTCTTATCTCTTCCTTTCTTCCTACAACCCAAGTGACCCCAGACATCATACCTGCCACACGCATTCCCCTTTCCTAAAAGGTCCAAGCCCATCTTCCTGGTCACAGTGCTCAGAAAAAAAAAAAAAAAAAAAAAAGTCAAGTTACTCCCAACCGGAAATGGGAACTGGGTCTTTGTTACTGTTTAGCTCCAAGCCCAGGGCAAAGTTCAGTGGCTCTCGTCCAAACACCCAGTGCAGCGAGGAGCTGATCAGAAAAGCTTTAAATGGCAAAGCAATGGGTTTGCCGCTTGGGATGTGGGCCACCAGCAGACCCAGGGCGGGGACGCGCTCCCACCAGTATCTAAAATCATTTCTAAGATGACAGACAGGCTGGGGCTCGTGGAGGGCCAGCAAGCAAAAGTTCATCCTTCTATATAAGGATCCTCTTCTGGAACACACAGTCTGGCAGGCACGTGACTTCACAAGTACTCTGTATTTCCACAATTTTGTTTGTTTGTTTTAAATCAACAGGTAGAACAGGGCCAGCCATCCATGTCGACACACCACAAACAAGCTTTGCAAACATGCGTTTTGGTGTGCCCGTGCAGGGACACCACCTCCAAGGCTAAATTCCTTTCCCAGATTGACCGGGGAGCTCCCGGAACGGGGCTCCTAGGCAGGTGACAAAACCCGGCTCAGAGCGACATCGCGGGGTTACGTGTAAGTGACAGTGCTCCACGGGTTTTGACTGGTTTCTCATCGTCCCTCAGTATAGAAGCTAATTGAAAAGGCCACGTGTTGACTTCCCTGTCCCTAAGCCCCTCCAGCTTGCTGGTTCTTACTCACCCGGCATTCACTTCTAACGTACATAAATATGTTTAAAAAAAAAAAACAAAACAAATTCCAGTGTTATCAGACAAGTTAAAGGCTTGCTCAAGTAAAACAAAGATTCATTTCCCTGGCTGGAGGTTTCTGGGGCGGCGGGGGGGGGGGCCTCACTGAAAAATGTGTTCTTCCTACTCAGAGCTGAGGTTCTCCAAGTGTGGCCCATAGGGGCCCCCCCTCCCACCGTTAGTGGGTAGACAGAGGAATTCAAAAGCACAGTTGATGCTGAAACCACGTGAGGGTTGCCACACACTGAAAAACCCGCTTATAACTTTTGACGGCCCCCAAAACATAGCTGCGAAAAGCCCACAGTTGTCCAGAAGGCTTACCGGGCATTTGCCCGTTATTTTGTGTATTATAAGCACTGGATGCTCTATTCTTACAGTGAAGGAAGCTGGACAGCAGGAAATGTGATTATGAAAATTCTAAGGGAGGGGGAAAAAAGGGCACTTATGGGATCCTGCAGTGCGTTTGCCAAAACAAACAAAAAAAAGAAAGAAAAGAGACATATAAGCGAAGGTGGGCATTTCAAACCAGTGTTGTTCAAAGGCCGACTGTATTTTGGCAAAAGGTTAGGTGGTACGTGTGTGGCTCATCTCAGAAGAGTTTGCAGAGGCTAGCCGACCTTCCCAGCACGCTAATTGCAGAAGTAGAGCTGAGTGTAGGGGTCTCCTCTTAGGCCGTGCAGGCACGAGCTTATTAGCTACAAGGTAGCACCCCACCCCAGTTCCCACTGAATACTTTGTTTTGGAACATACTGATTTGGTACCTAAAAATAAACTGCCATTTCTGCGCCCACAGACCAGGGCTCTTGTAATTCCCTGTGCAGCCGTGCACACAGAAAGGCCTCCCGGACTGTGGCTTTGCAGCCCCGGAGCATGTGTCTATGGAGAGCCAGGGCGCCGCATCCACACGAGCACGCTGGAGGTCCCGCCGTGCTTACCAGAGCTTGAGCGGGTCCTGACCCGAAGGCCCGGGGAGTGCGCGGCGGTGTTCCGGGCAGGGGGACGGAGTTGGCCCCCGGCGGGCAGCGCTCTCCACCGCTAGCACCGGCCGGCTCCCCAGTGCCCCGGCCGCGCGCTGGGCCCCGCCGCGCCGCGGCCAGGCCTTCCGGGAAGGCCAATGCCGCCTAATCCTGGGCTGGGGGGGAAGGAGGGGCCTCCGGGTCGTCGCGCTCCCGGCCTGCGCGCGGCCTCCGCACGACCCCCGCCGGCGCACACAGCCGCCCGAGGTCGAGGGCGCGCGCGGGCCCGGCCGTGACCCGGGAGGCGGGGGTCGCGGGCTTCCGGGAGACCCCGGCCCCGGGGCAGGCACGAGCGAGCAGCCGGGGCGCGCGCGCGCGCACGAGAGGCACCCGGGGCGCGCTTGGCCTCCACAACCCCCGCCGCGCGCCTCCCCCGCCGCCAGCCCGCCCGCACCCCCCGCCCCGGGTCCCGCCGAGCGAGGAGCGCGCCTCCGGCCCGGTGTCGCCAACGCCCCCGCCGCCCCCGCCGTCCCAGCCCGCCCGCAGCCCCCCGCCCGCGCGCCCGCGCCCTGCTGACCTGGTTCCGCGAAGCCCCCGCGGCAGCGCCGCAGCAGCTGCGCTAGGACCACCGCCGCGCCCGCAGCGTAGACCCGCAGGGCCGCCCGAGCCGCAGACAAAGGCGACATGGCTGCCCGGACGCCGCTTCCGCGCCGCCCGCCGCCGCCCGCCCCCGGGACCCGGCGCGACACCGGCCGGCGGAAACGCGCCCGCGCGGCCCGCCCTCCGCGCCCGCCCGCCCCGGGCCCGGAGCCAGGACCCCGCCCGGGGACCCCTTCCCGACCCCGCCCCGACCCCCCGGACCCTCCCCGGGGACCCCTCCCCGACCCCGCCCAAACCACCGAAACCCCGCCCCGACCCCGGGAACCTGCCCAGGGACCTTCCGCGACCCCGCCCAGACCCCCCGGAAGCCCTCCCGGAACCCTGACCCCGCCCCGGGACCTCTCCCCGACCCCGCCCAGATCCCCGGAACCCGGACCCCGCCCGGGGACCCCTCTCCGACCCCGCCCAGACCTTGAACCCTGCCCGAGGACCCCCCAGACCCCGCCCAGACACCCGGAACCCCTCCCGGAACCCGGACCCTTCCCCGGGACCCCTCCCCGACCCCGCCCGGAACCCTGGAACCCCGCCCCGACCCCGGTCCCTGCCTGGGGACCCCCTCCCCCACCCCGCCCAGACCCCGGAACCCCTTCCGGACCCCAGACCCCGCTCGGGAACCCCTCCCCAATCTCGCCCAGACCCCGGAACCCCTCCTGGAACCCGGGACCCCTCCCCGACCCCGCCCAGACCTTAGACCCCCCCTCGGGACCCCCCGACCCCACCCAGACCCCCGGAACCCCTCCCATACCCCAGATCCCGCACGAGGACCCCTCCCCGACCCCAGACCCTGCCCATGAACCCCTGTCTGCCCTGCCAAGACCCCAGAACCCCTCCCGGACCCCGCCCAGGGACCCCACTCCCACCCCGACCCGGCCCTAAACTCCCAACCCCAGGAACCCCTCTTCTTCCTGCCCAGACCCCCAGACCTCTGCACATTGACCCCTCCCCTGGACCCCGACCTGATATCCCGACCTGGGACCCCCTCCCCGACCCCTCCTGACCGCAGTCTGCACTAGGAACCGAGGAGGGACTCTAGAGTAGGGACCCCCACCCGGATCCCCCACCCCTGCCCAGGACCCACCCAAGACCCCAGCCCCTGGACCCCGCACAGACCCTGGACCCCACCGCACCCCACCCCCGACCCTGCGCAGACCACCCCCATCATTGGAGTTCCACTGAGACCCACCCACCCCCCCAGATCCCTACCCAGAACCCTCCTAGGGGACACCTAAACCTGGCCCCACAAGGACCTCAATACCTGCCAGGGCCCAAGACCCCCACTCATATTCCCCTCCGTTGTAACAGCCAGTGGATCCCAGACCCGCACCCCTGCATCCACTCGCATCCCCAGCAGAGACCATGTACCCCTGCCAAGATGGGACACGCAGGATCCCACACTTCTCCAGAACCCTGACCCCTCCACCAGGACCCGGGATCTCCCCCCACTCACTCCCCAGACCCAGCAGGCCTGATTGCAGGGGGCACCCTAGCCCAGCACTAGCCTTACCCGGTCGCTGTACCCCTTTCCTCAGGTCAGGGGGACTGGCTTCCCATGGGGGTCTGAGACACTAGGGACCCACCCCTGCTTGGTGCCTCCCCCAGCAGGGTTAGGAAGGCTCCTCTGGCCTTTGCAACCCTCTACAGAGAAACTGAGGCCAAACAGCCTTCCCCGGACCCCCTGCCAGATGAGAGCATCATCGGTCAGCCCTGCTGGGCCAGGTGCACCCAGCAAAGAGCATCAGGGACGGTCATACTCTCCTTGCTGCCCGTGTCCCACCCCAGAGGGTTTCCTGCATGAGCCCCTGCTGTGTGGGATGGGCAGCTCTGGCCCACTGTGTTCCTGGTGCAGGAGGGTTCCACGGGTGGGGGTCCAGGGTCTGGCAGAGGTCAGGTGGGGTCTGTGAACCGGGGTGGGGGGTTGAGATCCAGGTGGGGTTCCTGGGCAGGGGGTCCAGAGTCTGGGTGGGGTCTGAAGGGATCCAGGCGGGAGTCCCCTGATCTAGGGTCTGGGCTGGGATTCCAGCAGGAAGCAGGGCGGGTGGGGCTTCTGAGAGTCTGAAAACAGAGACAGATGGACAGCGTGTTATCCATGGCCAGCCAGTGCCTGGGGGAGACACTGAAGACCCCTCCTCTTCTCTCACCCCATCTCCCCCAAGTGTCTATATTCTCAGGAGGTTTCTGGAGCCATGAACTGGGGAGGGGGTGCTGATAGCTGCAGACTTTCTTAGGTGCTTCCAGCAATGATTTGAGGGGACCCTCTCTGAGTCATAAACTGGGGAGGGGGTGCTGATAGCTGCAGGCTTCCGTAGGCGCTTCCAGCAATGGTTTGAGGGGACCCCCTCCCCGAGTCACTCTACTCCCGTGGAACCTGTTGCATATGGTTTTTATCACACTGGTGATAAGTCACCCCAAATGCAGCAGCTCAAACTCTACAAATTGTAGGATCTCAGCGCTCTGTGGGTGAGAGGTCCCCAGTGTGGGCTCCACTGGAGTTCTGCTCAAGGTCTCATAGGGTCCAAGTCGGGATGTCCGCCCACTCACGGGGCCCCCGGGGCCGTGGCCTGGAGGAGCCTGTGCGGGAGCTCAAGGAGGTCGTGAGCAGAAGCTAGGTCCTGGTGGTTGTGGGGCTGACGTCCCCATCTCTGGGAGGCTGGCTGTCGGCAGGGGGCAAGCCTTCAGTCCTAGGGCCTTCTTGGGGCTCCTAGCAGGTGTCCCTCTGCATCCCATTCTTGGAATTCCTACAATTTCCCCTCCTGCCGCATCTCTGGGACCCCCGCCGCACCCCGTTCCCTGCTTTTGAGGGCTCACGGGATTAGAATGGTCTCCCCAGGTCAATCCAGGATTACCTGCCTATTTTAAGGTGCATACCGAAATTCCACCTGTAAAGTCCCTTGTGCTGTATGGCGGTGCATACTCACGGCTGCTGGCGGGATTTGTGCCCGGATGTCTTTGGGTGGCCCACCCCTCGCTAGCCGACGCCGCCATGGTTTAGGACTTCCTGTCCCGTTGAGGATATGAGGACCATAGCAGAGGGAGGTAGATTTCACCTGCACCCCAAGAGGAAGATGAACCCCAGGGCTGACATCCTCCCTTAGAGAAAAAGGTGAAGCAGGACCTGGGAGGCCCAGCAGGGCGCTGAGAGCCGCTAGGTGTCTGCCTCCGGGCCACGAAATCCATGCAGCAACTCCTGCACAAGGCAAGGAGCTCATGATAATCCTAAAAGCCATGACAAAGTTTTTGGTGGTCCTTCTTTCAAAATCAGGGGTGGGGGAAAATACAATAAAGATGACTATGAATAATGCACGCCGTCTAGAAAGGGTGTGCAACACACAGCATGGGGTATCTATTGGTTTGTCATGGGAGAGACAAAGGGGCCCATACAGAGCATTACTGGGAAGACCAGAAGCATCCTATAGTTCCTATGGGCCCCTGCAGGTGCCACACAGGGCCACGCGGGCTTGCCTATGAGGACACAGTGAACCAGCAAGCTTTTTAGTACCCAGAGCGTGAGTAGCCCTGGTCCCCGTGGCAGGACGTGATAGGCTTGTTGGAATAATCCCACAAGCCGGCAGGGACCTCAAGCCTACTGCTCAGGGGGAAGCAGGCTCCCAGCCTGGTCCCCGGAATAAGAAGGGTCATCTGGTGTGGGGACCTTATCAGTGGGAGCAGCACGGGGTGGAGAATTCGGAGTTAGGCTGGTCAAGGACTTCTGGGTTTTCTCCAGACCCCAAGGAAGCATATGATGTTTATGATATGGGGCCCAAAGATTGGTCCTTCCACCACAGTGTGGTTGGGAGTGTGTGGTATGGAGAGGCACTGGAGGGCAGGGGGATCCCAGGGTTTCACGGATGGCCAAGGCCCGGCGGGAGCCTACAGAGTCGTGGTGCGTGCATGGCTCGGGAGGTACAAGGACATTTCCCCCACGAGTCTGGGGACACTGGTTAAAGCCGGTGTCCTGGAGGTACCATCCAAACTTGCCAGAATGACCAATGAAATGAAATGAAATGAAATAAATTAAATGAAATAAAATAATAAAATATAAAATAAATAAAATAAAGAGAAAATGAAATAAATAAATAAAATAATAAAATATACAGTAAAATAAAATGAGATGAAATAAAATAAATTAAATATAATAAATAAAATAAAATAAAAAATAAAATAAAATAAATACAGTGAAATAAATTAAATTTAATTAAATAATTAAATAATCCGAGGCACCTGTTAAAAATGCAGATTGTCAGAAATCATCTCAGGCCAGCTGAGTCAGAATGTGCTGGTGAGTCCCTCGAATGGAAAAATAAAGACAAACAGAAATTGGAGAGAAGGCTGGTGTGGACTTTAAGGTGTGGTTTTGGGGGTTTGGGTTAGTTTTTTGCTCTGTTTGTGGCTGTGTGTGACAAGGGTGTTTCTAGGTTTGCTTTTAAATTGTTAATATTAGGGACGCCTGGGTGGCTCAGTCGGTTAACCACCTGGCTTCCACACTCAGGACACACGATGCTTCTGGGGAGGGTTGCCCAGGAGGATATCACCCCTGATAGTTCTTAATGTATACCAAGTCCTTGACCTTGCTGGTCCAAATCCGGAATGTTCTTTGCATGCCCAGGTGTGCAGTAAAGAATCCACTTTGCACAAAGTCAGCTCTGGCATGGGCCCCTTGGGTTCTGGGAGCAAGACTCTGAGCCCCGGGACATGCAGGTGGAGCATGCTACCATGGGATTTAGGGCTGGGGGCCTTTGGGGCATGTGGTCTCCACTTGATGGAGGTCAGGTGCCCAGGGAGTCAGCCGTGCAGATTGGCGATAGCTGGGTGTTGTCATCTGTCATGGCTGGGAGAGGTACGTGCTGTGTATGAGCTCGCTGGGAGGGGCCGCTGGAGGCTCGCGCCTCCTTCCTCCTGGACCCTGCCCCGTGTACCTGTCCCCTTTGCGGGTTTTATTCTGTGTCCTTTCACGTGAATAAACCATTAGGATGAGCATAGCAGCTTGGCAGAGTTGTCTGTGTCCGTGTAGGGAATCTGTGTAACTGGGGGTGGCCTTGGGGACGCTGGAGG